TTTAATCTCTCATGATAGGATTAATTGCAACTTCAGCACCTAGGCAGAGTTCAAAGCAGAAGTAAACTGGTCTGATTTGATCAGACTTACGTTATTTAAAAAATTTTGTGTGTGGTTAGTAAACATCTTCAATGAAAAATTTTAATAAATAAAAATTCATAATGTGTTTGTCATCACATAATTACTATAAATAAGAATATTATTACTGGCTGGCTGGTTAGCTCAGTTGGTTAGAGCATGGTGTTGATAATGCCAAGGTTCAGGGTTCAATTCCTGTATTGTCCAGCTGCGCTCCCACCCCCCAAAACAAAAAACAAAAACCAAACAAACCAAAAAAGAATATGAGCTTATAGATTATCATGCTGGTCTACAGAAGTAGGACTGTCAACCAAGTTCCTCTGTAGGTTAATAATTTTTCTTTAGTTATTTTTGTCGATTAAATAAAAAGGTAACAACATGAATGCAGGTCGATCAGTCACTCCCAATTTTCTGCACTTGCTTTCTTTGATGCTAAGCATCTTTTATTTGATTTCTGATTAAGTTTACAGGGGCATTAAGTTTATAGGGCTCTTCAATATCTGTGGGAGCATCATAAACACACTGGCCACCACCACAAGGTCAGAAGGGGAAGAGCATTGAAGAATAGATCCTGGTTTTTATTGTGTGCCAATAAAACAATCAGCCTCGTTATCCTTCTGGGTTCTTGAGGTTGTTAGCCAAGAAACCACTGGGCTGCAGAGAGAATTCTCTCTCTTGGCTGTCATTAAGACTAAATTAGTACAAGCTCTTAATTTTAAAGTTTTCCAAACACTTGCAATAAAATCCAACTATCCCCACTGATCTCAGGGCTTGGTGGTAGTAAAATTAAAAAGTGACATTGAAACTGCTTCCTTTCTCTTTGCCAGCTTCTAGTTCTAAAATCGTGCTTTGGGGTAGAAGGAAGAAGGGACGAAATAGAATGCACTCTGGAATGATTTGGATTCACTCAAACTGCCTGAAGGACAACCAGCTTGACAAAGCATGCTGGTTCGACTTTCCCTCTGAAAAAGAAAAGGAGACGGATTTGAATAGCAGTGAGTGATGCTGGCCTGGAAGAATTCCTGAGAGAGGGAAGCTGTGGAGGATGACCCTGTCCCTGCAGTGTTCTGTGTGCTACTGGGATTGAACTCGTGAGCGATTCAGATAGTGCATGTATGCACATTTCTCGTTTCTGTAGTTACTTATTTCTTTAGTGTGCAAAGGAAAAATTACAACAGACTTCTCTCAGTTGATGGCAGCTTGAGCCAGTCTCGACTACTCCTTTTATCCCACATCCCACATTCACTCCATCAGGAAAGCTGATCTATCTTCACATTATACCCAGAAGTAGCTTTTCACCACTCCCTGCATGGAGCCACTGGTACCTCTTGTTTTGATAATGGCAATTGCCTCCTGGGGAGGGTGTGATCACCTCCTTTTATCCCACATCCCACATTCACTCCATCAGGAAAGCTGATCTATCTTCACATTATACTCAGAAGTAGCTTTTCACCACTCCCTGCATGGAGCCACCGGTACCTCTTGTTTTGATAATGGCAATTGCCTCCTGGGGAGGGTGTGATCACTGGTGCAGCAGGGACGCTAAGGCAGATCTGCTCCTGGGAGGCTCTTTGGCAGCAGACTTGGACGGAGGGACTCTCCCACGGCTCCGCCCGACCTTCCTTAGGCTGCAGAGCAGTGTAGGATGCTTCTGCTCATCTTCCTCCATCTCCCCTTCACTGGGGTCAGAACCGCACCTTGGTTGCATGGTTCTCCCGGCTTTCCTGGGCTTTCTCCCCATTTTCTCTCACACACGCATTTCCACTAATAAAATCCTTGCATGTTTAAGCCCACTTGGCATCTGCTTCTGAGAGGACCTAGACTGATACAAACTCTAACCAGTCCTCCCCCGCCACCCAGTCTACTTTCAATATAGTAACTACAGCAATCCTTTTCAAGCACAAGTCTGTTCCTGTCACTCCTCTTCTCCAAATGCTGCAATGGTTTCCCATTTCACTGACAGCAAAACCCAAGGTCCTTACAAATGCCCTCTGTGACAACTCCATTACCACTCTGGCCTCATCCTCAACAACTGTCAGCCTGGCTCACTCTTCTCTGTCGTGTAGTATCCTTGCTGTTCCTCATTCATACCACAGGGCCTTTGCACAAGCTTCTTCCTCTTCCTAGAATGTGTTCCACCCATATTTCTACATGGTCAAGCCCCTCAGATGTCATTATCTCCATGAAGCCCACTCATCACCCTGTTTAATATATAACCTGCCCCTCACCCCCACATTCTGGATCACCCTGATCACCCTCTTCCTGCTCTATTTTGTCTTTTCTCCCCCAGCACTCATCACCTTCTAAAATACTAGATAATGTTTACTGCTTGTTTGTTTCTCCTCACTAGGATGAAAGCTTCTTAAGGACAAGGATTTTTATTCATTTGGGCTACTGATGTATTCAAGTGCTTGGAACAGTGCCTGGCAGAGGGTGGACATCCAAAATGCATTTGTGCAATGAATGAATGAATGGATGGATGAAAAAGTACTATTTGGAAGGTGGTTAAAATCTGTAGTGTTGTGGTGATGTGGCTTAAGCAGGCTGTGTGAATTATAGGTGCAATGCTCAGGTGTGTCGCAGAATGTTCTGTCCCACACCTTCTGCCATAATGGTCCAGATGTGTGATAGGAACAAATGCTGCAGATGGCTAGTGTGGTCCTTGAGTGGTATATATCTAGGAGCATTGCTATTTTCTTTTTAGCAGTAGATTAATGCAGATGTGATAAAAATTGTGAGGGTGGCACAAAAATTACAGTAGTCTGGGAAATTGACCTAGTTTAATTCTTCATTTTATAGGCAAGTAAACTTAAGCCAAAGAAGCCACAGGGTTAGCCATTTCTGGACTCAGTCTCATTTCCCCCCACATTATTGCTGTCTTAGCTAAAATAACATAAATACACACATACACACATATATGTATATACATGTATGTTTGTATGTATGTATATGTGTGTATGCACACACACATATATGTGGCTAAGTAAAATCTTATGGCAAAAATATTCTCTTGTGCTCACAAAATATCTTTTTCCTACTAGACACATAGCTAACCTATATTTCTCAGCTCCCTTGAGTTGAGTTAGGCAACTGATAAATTTTGGCCAAAGGAATGAAGGTAAAAGTGATTTATGCCACTTCCAGGGCTGGTCCTCAGTTATCCCATTCAGCCCTCAACATCTTTCTCTCCCCGCTCTGTGACGCTGGAAGTAAAGGATTTCAAGATGGTGGAGCTAAAAGATGTGGGCTCAGAAGAGACTTCCCAGGAGAGCCCCTGAACAGGAATATTCATGCTGTACTTTGTGGGAGGGAGAGGCAAACTTTTTGTTTGTTCTAAGCCCCATTGATACTTGGGGGGGGGTTTGTTGTTTTTACAACATCTAGTGTTAATTACCCAATTCATCCTAATCTATTTTCTTTTTGAAGGAGCAATAGGGTAATGGTCTAGATGATCCTGCAAAGACTCTACCTGGGCTATAACATCAGAGTGGTCATGCTTGGGCTATTATGGAAGAGACAAGAAGAAATAGCCTAAAACAAAAGATTTTAAGGCACTGCCATGAACATGTTCTCAGTCACTGCTTTTTGCAAAGACAACCTTCATGGATTCTAGTACTAAGCTATGAGAAGATATGTCTGTCCTGCCTGTGACATTTATGAAATCTGCTGCTCCTGACTTTAGTAAGGCACAGGGAGACCTGGTGTATCAGTTTCTTAAGGAGAAAGGGGACAGCCTGTACTGTGGGATATGAGCTGCGCATGTGCTGTCTGAAAGAGCAAGTTCAATATTAGAGCTTCATATTTGGAAAATAAGATAAATATTATTTTTAACCTTCTTGACTATTGTAAGTAAGCAAAGATAGATTAAATTCTTCACATTTATGTTTCGCAAGGAGACCTAGAAAACTTTAGAGCTCCGAGTGTGAGAGAAACCCATGCTTGCACATTTTAAGAAAAATATCAATTAAAATTCCAGTGAGATACCATTCCCACCTGCTGTACTGACACATAATAACAACATTTCTGAGTGCTTGATATTAGTTAGTTTCTATTCTAACTCATTTAATCCTCACCATGAAATTTTCAGTAGATATTAACATTATTACCAGTGTACAGATGAGTAGACTGAGGCATAGACAGTTTAATAACCTGCTCAGGGCCATGCAGCTATTAAGTGGTAGAGCTGGGATACATACAATGGCATAAATAGAACAGTCTTCAAGAAATTATTAAGTGAATAAAGCAAGGTGCAACACAGTATGATTTGTATGCTACCATTTGATTGAAAAAGTATATGTATATATATGCATTTGTATATATATGTATACGTATAGCTACATTTATATGTATCTGCATCTATATGATGTGATATCTTTGATAGAATCCATAAAAAGCTGTTAACAGTGGTTGCCTCCCATAAGGAATTAAGTGGCTGGGGAAAGGGGTGTGTTACAAACTCAATTTTCACTCTCTACGTATTCAAAAAGAGAAATAAAAATGAATTTACTTTATTGAATGAAACAAAGAAAATTGCAAAAATACATAATCCAACCTGAGACAAGGAAACGGTTCTCTCCATGAGAGTCTTGGTTCGCTTAAAGCCTGGGTCACTTTCTGCAAGGACATTCATGGTTTTCTTGCCGATGAATTCCAAAGCATCAAGACCTCCGGTTAAAACGCTTTTACCCTGCAGATGAGATAACTGCATGAGATTAGATTTTTACATTTTGCTGTTTTGCAGCAGTCAGCAACTCTCAGGTAAATGGCACCATCTTCAAATATTAAAATCAATAACAAGTCACATTTTTTTCTTATCAGGAGATTTATCATCCATTTAGTCCTGTTTTCTTCTCCTTAGACGAGTATATGTCACATAATTTGTAGGACATGTGATGTTTTTAAAAAATGATGTTTACAAAAAATGAAAGCACATTAGGGATTAATTTTACTGGCTCTGTGTGTATGAATAGATAACTAAGACATAAAATTAACAGGTGACCCAATTGCTGTTTTTGTTTGAAAAATTTTTAACCGAAGTAACAATTATTTGGAGCAGTCTATTCAAACGCCAAATATTCTTGCCAATATAGAGAATTCTTTAATCTAGGGCCGTGGAGTGTAGGACCCTCAAGCTGTTTCAGATGGCTCTTGCATACTTTCAGAAACTAGCAATAACCACCTATAATTAGAATATTTATGAAATAAGACAAGTTGATTTTTATGTACTTCTGGCTTTAGAAACTGTTCTATTATACAGTTATCCCTCCACCAATCCCTTTGTTAGCCAGTTTTCTTTAAAAAAAAATTAAAGCAACCAAGACTTATTCCCATAAACTGTTCAAGTGAATTTATGAAATAAGACAAGTTGATTTTTATGTACTTCTGGCTTTAGAAACTGTTCTATTATAGAGTTATCCCTCCACCAATCCCTTTGTTAGCCAGTTTTCTTTAAAAAAAAATTAAAGCAACCAAGACTTATTCCCATAAACTGTTCAAGTGAACAGAATTGTATACATTTCTTTTCAACCTCTTCTATACATACACCCCAACTTACTATAGTATGTAATTACAGTATGCATGCATCTGTGTTTTTTCTACTTTATATGAATTGATATAAATTGTATATTTTGTAATTTTGTAAATTGTATAATATATTTGCATTTTTCCAGTCTTCATAATTATCATCTAAATAGCAATATTCAAGTTCACTGAATGAATATACTTTATTAGTTATCTCAATTTGGACATTTAGACTTTGTTTTGAGATTTGGGAGCCAATGAATAATCATGCTATGAAACAGATTTGAAAATGCACATACTTTGGGAGGATGATTGGAACATCAGCAAATCATACTTTCACATAAGTTGATTTACTGCCTCCTAATGTCCTATGAGAGTTTACTTTCATAGAGAATAAAATGGAAGAAGCAAGGACATAGGGACTTTGAGTAAGGGCAGACCTGCGTGGTAGGGGTGGAGGGAGTGGGCAGTGGGGAGGTCTGGAACTTGGGAAAAGGGGGACAAGAAGGCTGGTGAAAACACACAGAGAAAGGAATGTGAGGGTGCTGAAGACAGACTCAGAGAGGCCATGAATTCTTTTCTCATATTGCAGATGTTGAAAGAACTCTCTCCATCCCCAATCCTACAAACCCTCCCGGGGTCTGAGTCCTCAAACAGATTTGCTGCTCCTCCTTCACCTACCCAGCCTAAAGGTCTTTAAGTAGCAAGGAGACCAGCTGTCATCCTCTGTATTTCTGGCATGCCCTAACCCAAAGTTTGGGTAAGATAACCTCATGTTTGTCCACAGCCCCTTTTTCTTCCCCTATGACATTGTATTTGTCTGTTGAGACGTGTCTACTTTCCAGGATATTGTGCCCTCTTGTTTGCCAGCATACGCTGAGCATCTAGCATAGCTCCCCTGGTACATAGTGAGGGCTAATCATCTTTTTGGTTTTTTTTTTTTTTTCCTTTTTGTCTTTTTTCGTGACCGGTAACGGGATCGCAACCCTCAGTGTCGCGCCCGCACCGCGACCGGCAATGGGATCGCAACCCTCGGTGTCACGCCCGCACCGCGCTCAACCAGTGAGTGGACCGGTCTCTATATGGGATCTGAACCCTCGGCGGCCGCGCTCCCAAGCGCTGCACTCTACCGAGTGCGCCACCGGGCCGGCCCTTTTTGGGTTTATTTTAATGAATGAATGAATAAATGGGATATGAGCCATATTTCTAGAAAAACTAGTTAGCTGGTGCTGTATAGTAGAAAATACACATTTTCTTCCTGACCTTATGGACCAGCTAGCTGCCTCATCTCAGCTGGGGTGTTTCCC